AAGATCATTTTTGTCAATTATTTGGAATGTCATAAATATGAAGTACATCAAGGCAAAGTGCAAAGAACATCAGAACCATTGTTGGCATGTCCAGGTCACGAAGAAGCTGATACAAAAATTATTTTCCATGTTTGTCAGTTGACTTCAGATGCTCATGTTACGATACGGTGTTCAGACACAGATATTTTGATTATTATGTTAGGAAACATGAAATACATCAAAAGCAATTTAAATATCTCGATGCATGTTGGGACCGGAAACAATCAGAAATTTATCAATGTCACCAAGTTGTATGACACATTGGGTCCCAATTTGAGCTCTGCATTGCCAGGATTTCATGCCTTCACGGGCTGCGATTTTAATTCAGCGTTCTACCGCAAAGGCAAAAAAAAACCATTGCAAATTCTGCGAAACTCTCCAAAATACATACAGGCATTAACTGACATTTCAAATATTCCCAATTGTAATCTTGATGAATTGCTTGTCACACTGGAAGGCTATGTTTGCCGATTATATGCACTGACAGCAGTTGAAGATATCAATGTTGCTCGTGTTGTTACATTCACAAAAGCATATGGTACCCACGATGACTCGAATCCGCTAAATCTGGAAACACGAATTGATGGTGCATTGTTTCCGCCCTGTAAAATTGAGCTGCAGCAGCATATTCTACGTACGGCATACATCGCTCACCTTTGGAGCCATGCTCATCTCCCCGTGCCAACCGAGCTATCACCTACTGAGTATGGATGGGAAGAAAGCAATAAGAAATATTTATTCAAATGGTTCGTGGGCGATCAATTGCCACCAACCATCACTAGCATCTCTAATCTCGACACAAACGCTTCTGGTATAAACAAATTCATTCTTTCTTTTTCTTTTTTATGAATATATTAACCTACATGATTTCCTTAATTCATTTGTATTTTTACAGACGACATCGAAACTGAAGAAGATGGAGTGTATAATTTATCTATCGATAACTCCGATAATGACAGTGACCAAAATAGTGATGATGACAATTAAGAAAAACATTTGTTCCATTTTATGCATTTCGACATTTGTATTTTAATTACGCAAATAATAAATTAGTTTAAATAATGTGATGTAATAAATCCGAATTTTGTGCATTAATATGGAGCATGATATAATTTTCCCGCTTTACTTGAACATATCTTTGGTAAATTGATGGAAGACCGTTTGAAATTTTGTAATTTTATAATATTAATAATTGAAAATGAAAAAATAATCGTCAGCTGATTGTCCGTTGGGGGAAAAGCCGTCAGTCGAAGCATTGAAAATTCTACGCGCCGCGCGAGATATATGAACGCAATGATACATTTTGCTGCGGCTGACGGTCTTTCCACCACTATAAACGCAGCTGATCATCATTATTATATTTTCATACATGTTGAAAGTAATGTAAAAAAATTTCAATCGGCATAAAATTGTTTTACCTTCTCTTTTTTTTTACAAGTTCGCCCGTTCAGCTGACATGTTTTCCCCCCTCTACCGCGCAGCTGACTATTTTTTTTTTATCCTAATAAATGTCAACAATACACGGATAAAATTTCAGCCGGCATAAAATGAGCTGATAAAAATTTTTTTTCGACACGTTTCGTAGCCTCCCACGCTCGTACCCACCGCGAGTGCGCCAGCTGACATTCACTTTCGTTGTCTATGAAAGCTAAATCACAAGTATAGTGAATAATTTAACGGCATAAAAACGCAGTTCAAAATCGACCCCTGGCTCCCGGTCTAATAGTTCACAGCAACATAGACAAGAAGCTCAGCGCACTTCATACTAATAACATATTGACTTACAACAACCACCAGAAGTTGCTGGGAGATCTATGTTGCGACCGGTATATTGTGAATTGTTTGGCGAGATCATGTCATACTTGCCTTGATAAAAACCCGAAATATAAATAATTTGATGACAGAAAGGTCATAAAATATAAAATGTGGTTTTCCGAAAGGCAGGAAATCCAAGATTTTAAGACTAAAAATTTTGGACTGGTGACTAAATATTTGAAAAAAACATTACATCCAAGACAGAGAATGATTTACACAAATTTTTGGATCACCAGCGAAATATTGTTCACCAATATAAAACAATGAATGATTTGAAGTCAAACCTACAAGATGATGAAGTCCTGATCCACGTAGATTTTAGCGAGAATTATTGCACTAAATACGCAAAAGAAATACAGGCCTTTCATTTCGGTGGATCTCGAGTACAACTGAGCCTGCATACCGTAGTAGTTTACCTACGAAATTCCATCCTTTCTTTTTGCACAGTCTCTGAGAACATAGCCCATTCAACTGCTGCCATTTGGACACATCTACGACCAATTTTCAAGACTCTTCCACGTGGCATCAAACGAGTGCATTTCTTAAGCGATGGCCTTGTAACGCAATATCGTAATAAAACTATGTTTTTTATAATGGCAACCAAACTCTTTAAAGAAATTCCAGATATTGAAAACTTTACATGGAACTACACCGAAAGTGGCCATGGAAAAGGTGCACCGGATGGTATTGGAGCAACGTGCAAAAGAACAGCTGATTTTGTTGTTAATTCTGGAGGCGACATCAACAATATTGATCAGTTTGTTAAAGTGATCGAAGAACGATGTCTTGGCATCACATGTATTGCAATCGACGGTAAACACATCCAGGCAATGGTCGATCAAGTTGAAGAGGAAGCGGCCGATAAGAAGGGTTTTAAAGGCACTTTAAATGTGCATCAGGTCGCAGGTGTTTATTCCAGCTTTATCCAACGGCCTTCCAACTAAATGCAAAACACTTATAATGAAAAGCATCATTGCAACAGCAGTGAATCTTGTGAGCATTATAAGATTGTAAAACCTAGATGGACAGTAGAAGAAGTGTTTACAGAGTCTGAACCGGCAGATCTTGAAACTGCTAAGCCTGAATTGATACCTGCACCAAACAAGTTCCCTCAAAGATTTGATGATGTTATAGCAGGAACAAGTGGTACTCGGAATTCATATTACAATACTGGAGATTACGTCCTTGTTAAATATCCAGCTAAAAATGTAGAATATCGTTATGCAGCCGTAATTAATGAGATTGATGACGATGAAGACGACGTACGTGTTACTTTTCTCAAGATTTGTAAACAAAAAGTGCAGATCTTTAGAATGGATAATAATGACATTTCGGACGTGTCATTTGATCACCTAGTCCAAAAGTTGGATAATCCTAACTTTTTAAAATGTTAGGTTCATTGTGATTAAAATTTTTATGTGCCGTATTTGATTTAGAAAAATCCTTAGGATTTGATTGAAGATCTCAGTTGAAATATCATATATTTAAGAGAAAAGACTTTTCTAATCATTATATTAATAATAGTAGGTATTTCAATGAATACTGCATAAAGCATTTAATGATTGATATTATTATAATAAGACTATGTTTATCTCAGTGAGTACAAAATGTTTTTAGCACTCAAGCTTAATTTTTGTTATCAATATTTAAATTCTAATAATTATATTAATAATAGTAAGTATTTCATTTAATGATTAATATTACAATAATAAGACTTTATGGTGATCTCAGTGAGTACAAAATGTTTCTAGCACTTAAGCTTAATTTTTGTTATGAATGTTTAAATTCTAATAATTATATTAATAATAGTAAGTATTTCATTTAATGATTAATATTACAATAATAAGACTTTCTGTTGATCTCAGTGAGTACAGAATGTTTCTAGCACTTAGGGTTAAATTTTTGATATTGATTAAAGAAAGTTATATTTTGTATTCATTTTTTATAAAGAAACTTTGTTGATTATTGATGCGAAAATATGTCATAAAAACAATAAATGTTTGATTAATGTTAAAAGATTTTTTTTAAGTACAACGGTCCTCATTCTCTCTTAACAGCCCCCTGTCACGTTCAGAACAGTCCCCTGATGCTTCACAGTCCCATGTCATGATTTTTTGAAGAATCGCTAATAACTCGGAAAATACGTATACATTCAGTGGGCCTTCTTATCCAACTAAAATAATACTTAATTTACTTGAATATATCTTTGGTAAATTGATGGAAGACCGTTTGAAATTTTGTAATTTTATAATATTAATAATTGAAAATGAAAAAATAATCGTCAGCTGATTGTCCGTTGGGGGAAAAGCCGTCAGTCGAAGCATTGAAAATTCTACGCGCCGCGCGAGATATATGAACGCAATGATACATTTTGCTGCGGCTGACGGTCTTTCCACCACTATAAACGCAGCTGATCATCATTATTATATTTTCATACATGTTGAAAGTAATGTAAAAAAATTTCAATCGGCATAAAATTGTTTTACCTTCTCTTTTTTTTTACAAGTTCGCCCGTTCAGCTGACATGTTTTCCCCCCTCTACCGCGCAGCTGACTATTTTTTTTTTATCCTAATAAATGTCAACAATACACGGATAAAATTTCAGCCGGCATAAAATGAGCTGATAAAAATTTTTTTTCGACACGTTTCGTAGCCTCCCACGCTCGTACCCACCGCGAGTGCGCCAGCTGACATTCACTTTCGTTGTCTATGAAAGCTAAATCACAAGTATAGTGAATAATTTAACGGCATAAAAACGCAGTTCAAAATCGACCCCTGGCTCCCGGTCTAATAGTTCACAGCAACATAGAGAAGAAGCTCAGCGCACTTCATACTAATAACATATTGACTTACAACAACCACCAGAAGTTGCTGGGAGATCTATGTTGCGACCGGTATATTGTGAATTGTTTGGCGAGATCATGTCATACTTGCCTTGATAAAAACCCGAAATATAAATAATTTGATGACAGAAAGGTCATAAAATATAAAATGTGGTTTTCCGAAAGGCAGGAAATCCAAGATTTTAAGACTAAAAATTTTGGACTGGTGACTAAATATTTGAAAAAAACATTACATCCAAGACAGAGAATGATTTACACAAATTTTTGGATCACCAGCGAAATATTGTTCACCAATATAAAACAATGAATGATTTGAAGTCAAACCTACAAGATGATGAAGTCCTGATCCACGTAGATTTTAGCGAGAATTATTGCACTAAATACGCAAAAGAAATACAGGCCTTTCATTTCGGTGGATCTCGAGTACAACTGAGCCTGCATACCGTAGTAGTTTACCTACGAAATTCCATCCTTTCTTTTTGCACAGTCTCTGAGAACATAGCCCATTCAACTGCTGCCATTTGGACACATCTACGACCAATTTTCAAGACTCTTCCACGTGGCATCAAACGAGTGCATTTCTTAAGCGATGGCCTTGTAACGCAATATCGTAATAAAACTATGTTTTTTATAATGGCAACCAAACTCTTTAAAGAAATTCCAGATATTGAAAACTGTACATGGAACTACACCGAAAGTGGCCATGGAAAAGGTGCACCGGATGGTATTGGAGCAACGTGCAAAAGAACAGCTGATTTTGTTGTTAATTCTGGAGGCGACATCAACAATATTGATCAGTTTGTTAAAGTGATCGAAGAACGATGTCTTGGCATCACATGTATTGCAATCGACGGTAAACACATCCAGGCAATGGTCGATCAAGTTGAAGAGGAAGCGGCCGATAAGAAGGGTTTTAAAGGCACTTTAAATGTGCATCAGGTCGCAGGTGTTTATTCCAGCTTTATCCAACGGCCTTCCAACTAAATGCAAAACACTTATAATGAAAAGCATCATTGCAACAGCAGTGAATCTTGTGAGCATTATAAGATTGTAAAACCTAGATGGACAGTAGAAGAAGTGTTTACAGAGTCTGAACCGGCAGATCTTGAAACTGCTAAGCCTGAATTGATACCTGCACCAAACAAGTTCCCTCAAAGATTTGATGATGTTATAGCAGGAACAAGTGGTACTCGGAATTCATATTACAATACTGGAGATTACGTCCTTGTTAAATATCCAGCTAAAAATGTAGAATATCGTTATGCAGCCGTAATTAATGAGATTGATGACGATGAAGACGACGTACGTGTTACTTTTCTCAAGATTTGTAAACAAAAAGTGCAGATCTTTAGAATGGATAATAATGACATTTCGGACGTGTCATTTGATCACCTAGTCCAAAAGTTGGATAATCCTAACTTTTTAAAATGTTAGGTTCATTGTGATTAAAATTTTTATGTGCCGTATTTGATTTAGAAAAATCCTTAGGATTTGATTGAAGATCTCAGTTGAAATATCATATATTTAAGAGAAAAGACTTTTCTAATCATTATATTAATAATAGTAGGTATTTCAATGAATACTGCATAAAGCATTTAATGATTGATATTATTATAATAAGACTATGTTTATCTCAGTGAGTACAAAATGTTTTTAGCACTCAAGCTTAATTTTTGTTATCAATATTTAAATTCTAATAATTATATTAATAATAGTAAGTATTTCATTTAATGATTAATATTACAATAATAAGACTTTATGGTGATCTCAGTGAGTACAAAATGTTTCTAGCACTTAAGCTTAATTTTTGTTATGAATGTTTAAATTCTAATAATTATATTAATAATAGTAAGTATTTCATTTAATGATTAATATTACAATAATAAGACTTTCTGTTGATCTCAGTGAGTACAGAATGTTTCTAGCACTTAGGGTTAAATTTTTGATATTGATTAAAGAAAGTTATATTTTGTATTCATTTTTTATAAAGAAACTTTGTTGATTATTGATGCGAAAATATGTCATAAAAACAATAAATGTTTGATTAATGTTAAAAGATTTTTTTTAAGTACAACGGTCCTCATTCTCTCTTAACAGCCCCCTGTCACGTTCAGAACAGTCCCCTGATGCTTCACAGTCCCATGTCATGATTTTTTGAAGAATCGCTAATAACTCGGAAAATACGTATACATTCAGTGGGCCTTCTTATCCAACTAAAATAATACTTAATTTTCTTCGAAATAGGATGCGGTTTTTTGGCAAATGGCAAAAATAATTACCAGTACAGCATTTGTATGGGATCTGTACGAGCTTACAGATAAATGCCCCAATATAAATATAAAAAGCTTTATATTGTAGATGTTTTAATTTTTGTACCTATATCTACCTAGTTACTAGGTCCTAGTATCATTGTACCCTATTTCGACTAGCTAGGGCGCCGAGACAAAATACTAAACCTGTAAGAGCGCAGCGAACTGAAAAAGTTTGGGAACCCCTGTGCTAGCCAATACAAATTTATGAAATAATATTGCAATGTATCTGTAGAAATATGATCTGAGCGGCAGTTGTCTAAGAGACTCCGGCGTGACCTGCCTTTTTATGTTACTATAATACTCTCAATATGTTTTAAACTAAATGAATATTGACTTAAACTGTCAATTAACGGCATACAATCATCATTTATAAATAAAATCCTTTAGAAAGTTACCATAAAAGTGAATTTAAAGTTACTTTCCAGTCAGATACACTGCCTGTACTCTACATAATACAGTTTTTTGAGGAATGTATCTGGTGAGACACATTGCCTATTATATACATAAACATCATTTGAAAGGAATGTATTTAGTGAGATACTTTGCGCAAATTACAAAATTGTAGAAGTATGTCTTTTTTCTATTTACAGAAATATCGAAGCAGAACTGAAGAAATAGTTAAAAAAGTTCTCTTTCCTACATCTCCATTGCGAAATATTTCCAATAATCAATATTTTGATATGTCAACGGTAAATATATCTGAAACAGATCCAGTTCCTGTAACTCCTGTAAAAGTTATTTTAGAAGATACTGATTCAATTTATCTACCAAGTTCTTCGTACACAGAATTAATACCAATGAAAATTCAGTGCAAGTCTGATGTGCATACTAATATAAAAAAAAGGAGATTTACCATGTTCTTCGTACACAAAATTACCACCAATTACAATTCATAGAAAGTCTGATGTGAATACTAATATAGAAATAGGAGGTACGCAACAAGAGGAAGTTTCAGAATTGGTTTCAGAAGCTGCCACTTTCAGTCCAATTTCTGAATATCCTAATCCACAGCAGGAACCACATTCATCATCTGAAGCACAAAACACATATCAAGCAATACAACAACCTTTATTGCAACTACCTCCAACGAAAGTACAAAAGCCTCCAGAAATAGTATCTACATCTGCACAGGCAAGCACAAAATGAAAACAAAAATATTTAGAAATAACATCAATTTGTCCGAGTGAGAAAACAACTTTTGACCAGAGAGCACCACCCGTTTGGGTTTGTTCAAAAATAAAAAAGGGAATATCACAAAAAATATAACACCAACCCAACTAAAGAAGCAAAACGAAATAAAATTTGAGTGGAATGATGTAGTTTTTTCATGAAGTAAACGTTGATTCTGTCAACGGTTTTTCCTTGCCCACTTCTTTAAAATCTCCTCTAGAATACTTCGAAAGGTTTTTCGATGACTATACGATCAATTTAATGGTATAAGGTACAAATTTATATTCCACCACACACAGAGGAAACTCTACGAATTCTGACTAAATAAAAGACTTTTTAGCTATTGAGCTTCTAATGGGTATTATAAAGTTAACTGCTTGCACCTATTATTGGTGTAGTGACTTAAGTATAAACATAATCGCTGATGTAATGCCCATAAAAAGGTACAAACTTATTAGAAGGTATACACATTTTAATGATAATGATGACGATACCGATACAGATGGAAATTTTAAAATGAGGCCTTTTATTGACCATCAAAAAAGAAAATTTAATGAAATTGAAAATTAACGAATACAGTCAATAGATAAAATGATGATACCGTATAAGGGAACCAAAGCAGGTTCAGAAAAAATTATGTAAAAACAAACCAAAAAATTGGGGGTACAATTTCGTTAGATCTGGAGCTTCTGGAATTGTTTATGACTTTGTCATATAAGCTGGTGAAAATACATTTTGGTAATTCACTTTTACTGAATATGAAGAGGCATTTAGGTTTTGGAGCAAAAGTCGTACTTGCATTATGCAAAACCTTGCCATATCCTCCACTTACTAAAGTATACTTTGACAATTTTTTTGCTTCACTTGAACTTATGCATTATTTGAAAGAAGAGTTTGACATTTTGAGTCTGGGGACTATGCGTGCTAACAGATTAAGAAATTGCCCTTTAGCAAGTGACAAAATTCTTAAGAAGAAAGGAAGGGGAAGTTTTCAACAAAAGGCAGCTAATACACAGAAGATTTGTGTAGTGAAATGACAAGAGAACAGATCTATTATTGTAGCCCTAGCCAGTTCTTTTGTTTCTGCGTATCCCATTTTAAGTGCCAAGTAAGACTTTGATTTGTACATGTATATCTAAATTCGTCCTTTATTCTTCAATTTTTTAAACAATTTTGTCCAACCCGATCTGTGATAGTATTAATAACAATCGTCATTATTATCTGCAAAATGTAGAAAATGGCGTATTTCTTTGTATTGTTTTAGGCGCATTTATATTAGCTATTTTTTCATATCTAATTTTTACACTCCAATAATCTGTGTTTAGTGGTCCATATTAGTTTACCACTAAATTCTTCTGAAAACAATTTTAAGTTTTATTCAAAACTAATTTATTTTTGAATGTATAAAATAAAAATATTGACAATTGTTATATGAAGTTTCATAAAAATTATATTTTTGTATATAAATTTCTGCTTCAAGTTTTTTGTTTTTATTTATGTTCTACCTTCCTCCTGCAGCGTACCAACGACAGTCACATACAGGTTGAGTGGGGAGGAACTGCAAAGATTCGAAAACAAAAGCTGAAGTTGCACGTCCCAACATTGTCAAACAGTACAATGCTCACATGGGAGGTGCTGACTTATCTGATATGTTCATATCACTGTACAGAACTGGGTTTAAAACACAAAGATGGTATTTGGCGATATTCTCACAACTTATTTATATTAATTATTAATAAAAAAAAGCCATTAAAATTCCCTTACTTTAAGGATCTTCTCTTATCACCTTTCAGATTAACAGAAGAAACGCTTCCGAGAACTACCCTGGTGGCAGGGAGGTTATTCGGCGGTCTTTCATAATGAGAGGAACACCAGATACCGTAATTCCTACATTATTGGCATCTCTTTCTGAGGGTTCAATAAAACAATACAACCTTTGTTTAAAAAGATGGTGGACTTATTAGCTTCGTTCGCGGTAACAATTCTGAACTGATTCAGAACTATTAATTCTTACTTAAGAGCGCATGCGTGGTTCATTATCAATTCTGAATTATATGTACCGCGAACGCAACATTGAACCGTTCTAGGATTTCTTATGAAACTATCCGTTGGTTTGGTTAGGCAAGAGGCCATACAAAAAAAGAAACGGAAATACTGTTCGGCGGAAAGACTGTAACTTGTCCGTTAAGAGTGTTGTATTGTTGTTAGTTTCAGTTGTCCTTGTTAGTTTATTGTTTATGTTTTCGTTCGTTACCAGTTTTACGATTCGTTATTTTATCTTCTGAACTATATTTTTTATCTGCGGTCGGAGATCTTTTACTTATTTGTTTTATTTCAAGCCTTCGTTGTTTATTTATAAGCATTTTTAGAAAACCCTAAATGGAGGAAGGTAGATTTTTAAAAAAATATTTGATATTTGAAAACTAATTTTTTATACTTTTAGAATCATCAGAGTTTGTTGAATTTGTCCCTGATTTGGAAAATCAAACTCAAGAAAATTTTAAATGGTCGCACCGAACAACATTGTTGCTATTAAACTTATATAAAAAATATAGGAAGCAGGTAGGAACTTTTAAAATTAAAAGTCTAAAAAAAATGTTTGACGAAATAGGGAAAGAAATGGAGCAGCTTACAGGCTTAAATATTAGTGGTTTCAACTGCGAAAACCGCTGGAAAGTGTTGGAGCGAAACTACAAAAAATTTGTTGACAATTCAAATAAAACAGGAAGAGGTAGAAAAGTGTTTGAATATAGTGAGGAAATGAAAGATATTCTGGGGGTGAAAAAGAATATATATCCGCAAAGATTGCTAGGATCAAGCACAGAGCACCACCTTGACGAAAACAAGGAAAATAACGTGGAGGATGAGGGTTTACAATTACCTGGCCCTAGTCAACCAGACACATCATCGTCTAGTTCTTCCCAGGTACAGAATACCCCCAAAAAATATGAAAACAAAAGGCTAAAAAACTACATTTTGAAAGAAATTAGAGATGATAGGAGGGCTTATTATAAAAAGAAATTACATATAGAAGAAAACATTTTAAAAGAAAAAATTAGGAAAAATGATATTCTTGAAAAAAGAAATAGACTTTTAGAAACACAACTTCTGATGAGTGGTGAATTGCCAGATTTTAATTAGCCATGTTTTTTTGTTATTTTTATTTAATAGGTTTAAGTGTGTTTTTGACTTTATATTTTTCAGTTTTTATTAGTATGTTGTTGTTTTTTAAAGTGTTCCTTTATTTTTATAATTTTATTTACTGTTTTTATTTGTTTTCTTTAAGTCAGTGTTTCTGACTATTATATATTTTTTGAGTATTACTAGTATGTTAAGTTGTTTTTTACAGTATGTTTATTTTTATAGTTTTATTTACTGTTTTTTATACCTGTTTTTTTTTATAATAAATGTTTTTTTCTATCTTCTTTTCTTTACTTTACAGCATAGTAAGTTTTTCACGGTTTGGTAGAGTATTATTAGTAAGTTTTTTTGTTTTATTAAATATAACAGAATTATTTATTGATTAAGGTGTGTACATGCCAAAGATGCATCGATAACCGATGGAAACACAAATGTACTGATTTAAATAAAAGTGTACATACCAAAGATCATCACACTCTCACACCATATATTTGTATTACACCGATTGACATCCACTTAAGCATTGCTCATTGAGGCATCTTCGGCATGTACACAACCTTAGGTAATTCCTAGAATAAATTTTACACAAAAAAAATAAAATGAAAACCCCCATTGTTTTTTTTTTTTTTTTTTTCATAGAACCACTATCGTATTTGAGAAAAAGTGAAAATTTCACATTTTGAATATAACTCAAAAACGGACAAAGAAAAACACAAAATTTTAAACCTAAGCTTGAATACATTCTGTGGTAAGCTAAATAAATTTTGGGCCTAGTTGAAGTATCTGGAAGGTACGACCCCCATTTTTGTACCTTACATTTTCTATAATATTTGGGCCATACATAATTTTGGGTTGGTTATGATGTTATTTTTTATAATATTTGTTTCGTACATGATTTACCTAAAGTGGATCATATTCAAGATATTTAAGAAAAACTGCAAATTTCGGTTCAAAAATAGAAAAAACTAATATAAAAAATGTTTTGAGTAAGATGTGTGTGAAAAATATATGTATTTAGTTTTTCCTCTAAAAATTTACAGGGGTGATACAAGAGATTACACAAAATTACTGGAAAAAGCTTGTAATAACTAGATAGGAAAGTCGTGTGTTTCTATCAAAATTTAAAAGAAGAGTTGTCGCTAAATCATTGAGATACTTATTTTGTACAAACCTGGATTCAATTTTTAATCTGATTTTAGGTAGATATGTTTTTTTACCAGCCGATTGTACAGTTCTATAAATGTTTTATACAGATATAATACAAAACTAAACTTTTTCAACTATTTGTTGATTAAGAATGAGGTACATTTCCTTATTTTATAATTCTGATGATAACACAAAGTAGACATTTATAGATTATTAAAACTACAAACAAGATTCTTGGACTTATGTTTTAACAAAGTTGCCAAACGCACTATTAACAGGCTCTGCCCAAATGCAAAAAACGTTTCGTCTAGTCAAATTTATTAAATAATAACATGGTTCCTTGTATTTTTTTGTTACAAATTAAAATTAAATATCTTCTTTATTTCAAGACAGAACCTAGAGGTTATGTTAAAGCATTAAAATGTGGAGATATTATATTTTTTCTGATCACATAATTAACTGTTTCCCAGTACCTACTTTATGATTTTGTATTGTGTGAACCTATGTATACAAAATTCATTGGTAAATTTTAATAAAAACTAATTTTATCATAAATTCATATCCCATGTTTGATATTGCATATTATTATTATGATTAAAAAAAATATATATACCTATTTATTTAATAAGTTGTTTTAAACATTTTCTATTCAATAGTATAAGTGTGTTTTTACAGTACTATTTTTCTTT